ATTTTAAGTTCGACAAACAGATCAGTTCAGTTCTGCAGAGAAGCTTCTTCCAACTGCGGCAGGTAGCTAAGCTCAAGCCAGTGCTGTCTAGACCCGACCTTGAGACACTAGTCCATGCATTCATCACAACCCGCCTGGACTTTTGTAATTCACTGTATGCTGGGGTCAGCCAGGCCTCTATCTCACGGCTACAGCTCGTCCAGAATGCTGCAGCTCGGCTCTTAACCGGTACACCGAGGTATGAGCACATCACACCAGTTCTGTCCTCCCTACACTGGCTTCCTGTGAGAACTAGGATTGATTTCAAAATTCTCCTCCTGACCTATAAGTGCCTAAATGGCCTCACACCCATCTACCTCTCTGAGCTACTGGAACCATATGTTCCCTCTCGGGCTCTGAGATCATCCGATCAGCTGCTTTTGGTTGTTCCAAAAACACGACTGAAGCTCCGAGGAGATCGGGCGTTTTCAGTCATGGGTCCCAAACTGTGGAACCACCTACCCCCAACATTAGGCATGCCACCTCCCTTCCTGTGTTCAAATCCCTGCTAAAAACATATCTGTTCTCTCTGGCGTTTCATACTGTGTGAGTTGATTTAGTATATCTTGTTCCATGTCTTCATTTTAATGCTGTTGTTTTAATTTTTTAAGGTATATTCTTACTGCTTTTTATTTCTCAGTGTTACCCTTAGTGTTAAGCACTTTGATAACAGTCTATCTGTTTTAAATTGTGCTCTATAAATAAATATATGACTTGACTCTTTCGTGTCCGGCCTCCCATACAAATCCTCATACCCCGTCTGCTTTGCCTTAGCTAACTCCCTATTTGCTCTACATCACATCTTCTTATATTCCTGTCTCCTCTCTTCAGTCCTCTCATTGTCACATTTCTTTTTGGCTAACCTCTTCCTTTAAACGGCATCCCGCACTTCACTATTCCAATACTAGGTTTCCTTATTATCCATTCTTGGTCCAGATGACACCACCAAGTACCTTCCTACCTGTCTCTCTATTTACTGTTGCTGTAGTTGTGGGGTTCTGGGGTTTTTGTTTGTCTGTCTGTTCACCTTCCCTCCACAGTTAATCAGCTCAACTCCACTCACCTGCTGCCTCTCTGGGAGGACTGCTACTTAAGCAGCTGCCTGGCACCTCTCCAGTGCTGGGACATCTTCTGCCATTGGACCTTTCACGGCTTGGCTCATCAGGTTCTCTCCAGGACCTCTCTCACCACTGGATTACGCTCCTGTGGATTCACGGTGTTCCTCCATCCTCCACTTCATCCTTCGTTCCGTCTGGGTCAACCTGCTCCTCTCTCATCCAACCATCTTCCACCTTCTCCTCGTCAGTCTCCTTCTACAAACAACAAAGTAAGATCAACCTAATCCTACAAATCAAATCAACAAACCTGCCATGAGGATGATTATACTCACCATCTCTCCATCTTCCCTTTCAGCTGCTCGAGTTTTTATTCTACACCTGTAAATAAATTATCACGTACCTTTTGACCTGTTTCCGTGTCCTTACTTCTCTTGGTCTGCCAATTGGGGGTCAACGTTATACCGATCCTGATAGTATGTCCCAGCCAGTGGACCCCCCAGGCAAGACTGAGGAAGTAAGGGCTCAGTCAAGTCCACAAATGAACAATTTAACTTCAATATTACAGCAAATCATAACTCAGCAGCAAAACACCCAAAGCAACCTCCTCGAATTGGGAGGCATGGTGAGCTCTCTACAGAAGGAGATGGCTACGCAACCTCGTCCCTCCAGTTTTCTAACAAGACCAAATGGGGAGATTACAAAGGAACCAGACATTCGACCTTCAGAGCTATTTGAAGGTAACACACGCAAATGTGGAGGTTTTATGCTTCAATGTGAACTAGCATTTAAACGCGCCCCCATCACCTACGCCTCGGACTTTGCCCGTATCACCTACGTGGTGGGAGCGCTTAAAGGAGAGGCCTTACAATGGGCACAAGCCTACCTCCGATGACGCTCAGTTGATAACATGTCTTTCTCCAGTTTCTCCAAAGATTTTTTGCTAGCGTTTGACCACCCTCTGCAACAAGAGGAAGCTGCACAGAAACTGTTTTCCTTAAGTCAGGGAACGAAGACGGTGGCCAAGCTCGCTATCCACTTCCGCATTCTTGCGGAAGAGTCCGGATGGGGGGAGAAGGCCCTCCGTAGTGCTTTCATAAGAGCTCTTAACCCACAGATAAAGGACAAACTATTGATTGGCAACATTCCATCTGACCTGGATGAGTTAATCTCCTTAGCCATCCGCATTGACAACAGAGTTCGCGAGAGTCTCCTGGAGGAGGACTTCAATTCCCAGGAGCCTCTTGTCCACAGAAGTTCCGCCCTCTCAACTCCTGAGTCACTGGTAGAGGCTGAGCCGATGCAGATTGGGAAGACTAAAATCACTACCGAGGAGCGTCAGCGCCGCCGCGAGGCAGGAGCATGCATGTACTGTGGGAAACAAGGTCATGCAGTGAGAACTTGTAGATTACTGTCAAACGCCAAACGCCCGCCAGTAGGTAATGAGATACTAGTGGGCTCGTCTTCTGTTTCTCCTGATAAAAGTCTCATGCTACCTGTGATTCTCTGCATTAATTCTGTGAATTTCCCTGTGCAGGCACTGATTGACTCAGGTGCTGAACAGAGCTTGATCAGCAAGGACATTGTGGAGAAACTAAAGATCCCTATGACCTCCCTGGATTCCTCGCTTTCAGTTTCTGCCATCACTGGTCAAAGTATTTCAACTATTTCATTAAAAACTGCAAAGATCTGTTTTGTGGTCTCGGGTAATCATAGAGATATGGGTGAATTCTTTGTTTTTAATTCACCAAATTCACAACTCATACTAGGTTATCCTTGGTTAAAAACTCACAACCCCCTGATAAACTGGGCAGAAAATAGAATAGACCGATGGGGAGAGGAATGCTCTTTTACATGCCTGCATTCAGCTATCTCTCCCAGTCTACCTCCTTCCCAGGAGAGGGAGGATATCGATCTTACAAATATACCGCCCATGTATCATTCTCTAGCTCCTGTTTTTAGCAAACGTAAAGCTCTATCTTTACCTAGACACAGGCCATATGATTGCGCCATTGATTTGCTTGCTGGGTCTCCTCTACCGACTAGCAGGTTGTATAACCTTTCTGGGCCTGAAAAGACTGTCATGAAAGAATGCATAGAGGAGTCTTTAAGATCTGGTATTATCCGTCCTTCTACATCCCCTGTTTGAGCAGGGGGTTTTTTTGTCTCCAAAAAAGACAAGTCTCTACGCCCTTGCATTGACTATAGGGGTCTTAACCAGATCACCGTTAAAAATAAATATCCACTGCCTCTCATCGACTCCGTATACGAACAGCTTCAAGGTGCCACCATTTTTGCTAAACTCGATCTCCGTAACGCCTACCATCTCGTCCGCATCCGCGAAGGAGACGAGTGGAAGACTGCTTTTAAGACCCCTTTGGGGCATTTCGAATACCTGGTCATGCCATTCGGGTTGACTAATGCCCCAGCAGTTTTCCAGGCCCTTGTCAATGATGTTCTTCATGATTTTCTTCAGGTGTTTGTCTTCATTTATCTTGATGACATCCTCATCTACTCCAAAGACAAGACCCAACAC